TGGAGGTGGGCAGCACCCCCTACACCACCACGGACCACAGATATCCTGGCTGCTCCCTATCTAGACGGTATGACTCCCGTCGCCGCTCCGTGAGTGTTTCGTCATCACCTGTCACCAAACCATTGTTTTTAGTTCCCCTAACAGTGAATGGTTCTTCCTTCTCTTCGCTTTCCACGGCAATGATAGATTCCAGATCAGCAAGGAACCTTATAGATAGGGAGCTGGTCTCTGAATGGGGGTTTCCCACCGTGCCACTGCCTTCTCCGCTACACGTCACCTCGCTAGACAATAAATCACTTGGATCAGGCACCATTACGCACGTCACTCTCCCCATCACCATCACCATTCCCACACTACCGGAGCACCACGAGGAGCTGTCCTTCCATATCGTCACGTCACCCCTTCACCGGATCGTCTTGGGATTGCCCTGGCTCAGTCTACACAACCCCACCATCAATTGGATCACCAAGAGGATCACAGCCTGGTCCCCCTCATGCCGGAGGACCTGCCTGCCGGTGGTTTGTTGTTCCACGTCAGTGGAGAGTCCGGAGTCCGCCCTCCATCCCAACATTCCACGTGAGTATGCAGATCTCTCCGATGTCTTCTCTGCCTCCAAGGCTAAGTGTCTCCCTCCTCACAGGCCCTGGGACCGCACAATTGACCTGTTGGAGGGACAACACCCCCGAAGAGTCGCATTTACTCCCTCTCCATAGCGGAGACTGAGGCCATGGAGAAGTATGTGGTGGAGACCCTGAAACAGGGGTTCATCAGACGCTCTACTTCTCCTGCCTCCGCCAGCTTCTTCTTGGTGGCCAAAAAATACTGAGGACTGAGACCATGCATTGACTACAGGGGGCTGAACGCAGTCACCACCAAGTACCGGTACCCCCTCCCTCTGGTTCCGTCGGCCATCGAGCAGCTACGAGGGGCCCGGTACTTTACCAAGTTGGACCTGAGGAGTGCCTACAACCTGATCTGAATCCGGGAAGGAGACGAGTGGAAGACGGCATTCAGCATTACCTCAGGCCACTATGAATACTGCGTCATGCCCTACGGCCTCACCAACGCACCTTCCGTGTTCCAGTCCTTCATCAATGACGTGTTCCGAGACATGCTGAGTAGACAGGTGGTGGTGTACATCGACGATATCCTGATCTACTCGGCTACGTTCGAGGAGCACGTCAGGGATGTCAGAGCGGTCCTACTCCGCCTCCGGGAACACAGCCTGTTGGTGAAGGGGGAAAAATGCGATTTCCACCAACAGGCCATCTCCTTCCTGGGATACAGGATCAGACCTCAGGGGGTGTTCATGGAAAGAGCGAAGATGGATGCTGTCAGGTCATGGCCAGTCCCCACCACCATCAAGGGCCTACAGAGCTTCCTTTCAGTTTATTCTGTCCTACCGCCCAGGATCCCAGAATGTGAAAGCCGGCGCACTCGCCAGGATGCACCATACTGGAGAAAGGAAGAATCTGGGGAGTCCTATCCTGCCACCGTCTCTCATCGTTGCACCTGTCGTTTGGGATGTGGACGAAGACATCCACCTGGCGGCTCAGGAGGACCCAGCGCCTGTCAACGGCCCTCCGGGGCGCGTGTATGTACCCACCAGGGTCCGTGACCACCTGCTGATCTGGGCGCACACCACCTTTATGGCAGGGCACTCCGGTATGATGCGCACCCTACATTCTGTCTCACATAAATACTGGTGGCCCACCTTGGCTACTGATGTCTCCCGCTATATCAACTGCTGCCCAAACGAAGACACCTCGGAACGCCCCGGCAGGCAAACTGGTTCCTCTCCCAGTGCCTCAGCGACCTTGGTCATACCTGTCCATAGACTTTGTCACCGACCTCCCACGTTCTGACGGCTTCACCACAGTCCTGGTGGTCATAGATCGGTTCTCCAAATCATGCTGTTTTTTGCTACTAACTGGTCTTCCTTCTGCTCTCCAGGTTGCTGAGGTCCTGTTCCAACAGGTCTTCCGGCATTATGGACTTCCGGAGGACATCGTCTCGGATCGTGGCCCCCAATTCACCTCCCGAGTGTGGAAGGCTTTCCTGGAGAAGATCGGGACCACGGCCAGCCTCACTTCTAGTTATAGGCCTCAGTCGAATGGGCAGGTGGAGCGTATGAACCAGGAGCTGGGGAGGTTTCTTCGTTGCCATTGTCAGGACCGGCAGGGTGAGTGGGCGAGGTTTCTACCCTTGGCAGAATATGCCCAGAACTCCCTCGTTCACTCCTCCACGGGGCTGACTCCCTTCCAGTGCATCCTGGGGTACCAGCCGGCCCTGGCCCCTTGGATACCTAGCAAGACCGATGCACCCGCTGTCGACGAGTGGTTCCACAGGGCCGGACAGGTCTGGGACGCCGCCCATATCCATCTCCAGAGGGCCATTTGTCAGCAGAAGGACCAAGCCGACCGCCACCGCAGTGAGGCCCCCGTATTCCAGCCTGGTGATAGTGTCTGGCTGTCCACAAAAAACCTCCCTCTCCGCCTGCCCTGCAAGAAACTGAGCCCCCGGTTTGTGGGGCCGTTTAAGGTCCTCCGGCGGATAAATGAGGTATCGTACCGGCTGCTCCTTCCCCCTCACTACCGTGTCTCACCCACATTTCATGTGTCTCTCCTCAGGCCGGTGGTTCCTGGTCCTCTGGCGGATGCCGTCCCCTTTGGTACGCCCCCTCCGCCCCTGGATATTGTCGGGAGGTTCCGTGGGGGACGTCTCCGTTACCTGGTGTACTGGGAGGGGCATGGTCCTGAGGAGAGGAGCTGGGTTCCAGCTGGGGACGTTCTGGACACCAACCTAATTCGGGACTTCCACCGTCGCCGCCCTGAATGGCCGCTCCTCGTCCTCGGGGTCATCCTCCTGGTCGGCAATGTCCTGCGGCGGGAGCCGCACGTCCGGGGGGTACTGTCACGTCTCCTCCCGTTGCTCTCCTACTGAGTAAACCTTTACATTGTTGATTCCTGCATCTGCGTCCTGCCTCTTCGTATCCTCAGTACTCATAACACTGTATGACAGGCAGAGATAGTGGTTTAAATGGACCTTGGCAGTGGAGATCTTCCCTCTGTCCAAAAAAGGTTATGCGATGAAGCATTAAACACCCCGAATACAGAGCATGAACAAATTATCTGTTCAGGCCAGACCACTTCTCAAAACACATCACTAGTTTCCACATTGAGCATAAATAGGGGCACTGGCACTCTGGATGCTGATGATCCCGAGTGGCAGGTGTGTCTCATTCAATCTTTCCCTCTCACGGGTCACTCCCAGAAGGTCATGACATGGGTGAAGATTGTAGATTTCTCTGTGTGCATGGGTCTGAGGATCCCTTCGTAATGGCAACCAGCAGGGCTGGTTGTAAGCAGGAGAATGATCTCCGCATATCAAGGCATCCCTGGTCATCGAGGGATAAGCCTATTTTAATGGAGTGGAGAGAGCCAGGCAAGGAGGAGGAAAGGCGTGGGGCATCAACCTAGACAAAGTGTGCTTCCATCCTTAGGGGTGCATTTGTCACCACTATGTGGGAATGGAGCCTCCAAACAACCCTCATAGGGTAGTCATTTCTAACAGACTGTGGAATCACTCTGGATAGGTTTCGAAAAACAGACTCTCGGAAGTCAATAACACTGTAGGGGCTGAGAGTGTCCCAGTTAACTGGGGTATCTCGCAATGCGTCTGAGGCATATGAGCGTAGTGTTTTTCCATAACACAGCCCTGTGCACCTGGTTTCAAGGGGACAAAGAGTGATATATTTCTGGAGGCAGAGCGCTGTAGGCACGGAGTGGGTACAGTGCTTGGTGGTGACTAACATTTCCTTGAACCTCAACATTTCCCTGCACCGTATTGAGGGGAGGATGGATGGGGCCATGTATCGCGAGATCTTGGCCAACAACCTCCTTCCCTCAGTAAGAGCATTGAAGATGGGTCGTGGCTGGGTCTTCCAGCATGACAACGACCCGAAACACACAGCCAGGGCAACTAAGGAGTGGCTCCGTAAGAAGCATCTCAAGGTCCTGGAGTGGCCTAGCCAGTCTCCAGACCTGAACCCAATAGAAAATCTTTGGAGGGAGCTGAAAGTCCGTATTGCCCAGCGACAGCCCCGAAACCTGAAGGAACTGGAGAAGGTCTGTATTGAGGAGTGGGCCAAAATCCCTGCTGCAGTGTGTGCAAACCTGGTCAAGACCTACAGGAAACGTATGATCTCTGTAATTGCAAACAAAGGTTTCTGTACCAAATATTAAGTTCTGCTTTTCTGATGTATCAAATACTTATGTCATGCAATAAAATGCAAATTAATTACTTAAAAATCATACAATGTGATTTTCTGGATTTTTGTTTTAGATTCCGTCTCTCACAGTTGAAGTGTACCTATGATAAAAACTACAGACCTCTACATGCTTTGTAAGTAGGAAAACCTGCAAAATCGGCAGTGTATCAAATACTTGTTCTACACACAGTGCAGAAGAGAACCTCCTCCAACAGTTTTCTTATGCTGTAGCCCTTTAACCTTTATCGCTTGTACGATGTTCCCTACTAGCTTCCTGCCTATGTTACTGTCTTTATACCTTAGTAGCCTTCATACCTTGCAGAAATTATTAACTGGCTAATAATATAAAATGGGCCGGCGTGGGGGCCTCGAGGAAAATAATGGGCCAATGTGGGGGCCTCATGGAAAATAATGGGCCGGTGTGTTAGAAATGCCAAGGACAATTTTTGGTCCCAGTCCGGCCCTGAACCTCACTGTAAAATTACTGTAATATAAAGTGTAACAAAAAATGTTGTCCAGAAATGTCCAAGGTTAAAGGTTACAATTTAGAATCAAAGCCAAGACAAATGCACAATATGAGACAGATGTACTGTATATATGAAGAGCAGAATTCATCATGAGACACTATAGTTTCTAGATGTTTTTATTCAGTCATATCACCTCTTAATATACAAACAAAAAGAAGGAGAAATAAATGGACATAAAGAGGCAAAACAATTTCATGATGTCATTAATCCGTTCGCCAGTCTTCGTTGTCCATGTTGGGAACACATAATCTATGTGTGGCAATGGCCAGCCTTTGGATTCTCCCTGTCGTCCGTCGCCCAAAACGTCCTACTGGTCGGATCCCTCGTCCTGTGTACCACGAGGCATCGATGTCTGGATCTGAGTGTCACAAATAATTTTTTGGAGGAAAAATAGATAACAACTTTTCTGAAAGTAAATAATGGTGTCATTGTTGGGGGAGGTGAGAAATATAGGTGAGGTTGTAACAGAACCTGTGGGGTGAAAGGGACTGTGGGAGAAGTTAGAAGAGAAGATAATGAGAGGAGCGTACACAAGAACATGGTAGGGAGAGCGAGTGTGTAAATGGGTCCAAAGAATGAAAGTGGCGAGAGCGATCATACGACTTTATAGTAAATTAGTTCAAGTTAAAGGGAGGATGAAGAGTAAAGAAAGACAGAGATTGGAAAAGAACATACTTCTTATCTCCATGGAGCGCTGTGGATACCCAACGTGTGTTTTGGATAGTGTCTGTGACAGCAGTAACATGAGGGCATAGAGCACAGCACACACCCTCATGGTCACCATACAGATGTCGATCACTGAGTCATAGGCTGGGGCAGACGTCAATCTGGAACAATAAAGTTTTACTTTAGAATTTAATTCTGCTGAATGAGCATAGGTTCATAGAAAGCAAATAGCATTCATCATGCAAATAATAATAGAAATCAATTACCAACCAGAACCAATTAACATAACTTTGTCAATATAAAGGTACTATCGAATAATTGATTATAGTCCTGGAATTTATAATATGAGAGATTAATGTGTTAATTGAATAACAATCAGAAGATACAGTACAACACAATACAAAACTCCTAGTACATGTCTGTCTTCTGTTGCCAGACTGTTGCCAAACTATCATAAGCGCAATACACTGACTACCAAACTATGCATGAAACAATTCTGTAAACATTGCATGGACTCACAAGAAAATAGCACAACAATACCCTGAGTGTACAAAACATTAGGAACACTTGCTATTTCCATGACATAGACTGACCAGGTGAATCCAGGTGAAAGCTATGATCCCTTATTGATGTCACCTGCTAATTCCACTTCAATCAGTGTGGATGAAGGGGAGGAGACAGGTTAAAGAAGGATTTTTAAGCCTTGAGACAATTGAGACATGGATTGTGTATGTGTGCCTTTCAGAGGGTGAATGGGCAAGACAGGGTGAATGGGGTATGGTAGTAGGTGCCAGTCACACCAGTTTGAGTGTGTCAAGAACTGCAACGTTGCAGGGCTTTTCACACTCAACAGTTTCCTGTGTGTATCAAGAATGGTCCACCACCATAAGGACATCCAGCCAACTTGACACAACTGTGGGAAGCATTGGAGTCAACATGGGCCAGCATCCCTGTGAAACGCTTTCAACACCTTGTAGTCCATGCCCTGATGAATTGAATTTTAGGTTGGAAAAATTTTGGTTGAAAGTTGGTTGAAAAAAAAACAAAATGCCCTTACATTGATGACTTTTTGCAAATCCAATCAGTTTTCCATGTTGATTCAACGTCTTCACATTGATTTTTTGGGGTTGAAATGATGTGGCTATGAAATTAATTGAAGTGCCTCTAACACACAATTTTTTATTTTTTATTGGTGAATCCTGGGGATAGACTGGTCATGGAGTTCACTTGACATCAAATATGCTTCAGGCATGCAAAAAACAAGAATCAAATATGCTCAAAATGTAACAACTGCTATTAAAATAACACATCTTAGAGTTAATTCAAGGACACTTAAGAGTAAAGAATAGAAGTGAAGACTTACATTGTGGAGAAGAGCCAAGTATCCTTTGGCTTTAGGAACCTCAGATATAGGAGGATGGACAGACGAACAGAAAATGAGGTGGACAGAAAATCAGGCTTCAGGTTGTCCCTGTGCTTGAATGGAGAATCTTCAGAGAATCTTCTGTTCCGATGGCTAGCTACTAGAGTGTGAAAAGTATGATAGACCAGAGCTACTCAGTGTATTTAGTCTATGGGTCTAGGGAGAGCTGAAGTGTTTTGGTTTGCCTCTGCTTCTCCTGTGAGGTGGATGGAGTTGCAGTGTATGGCTGTAGTGGAGAGTCATTCAGAAGAGGACCTGCTCTGGACGTCTGTTTATATCTCCACAGAGGGGACGCTGATGTCACACTGCGCATGCACACACACATACACACACACACACAATGTAGATACAAGGTATCACGCCTCTTCTGTGTACATGGATATTAAACATTGACATCATCTTTATCATGAGCCTGTTATTACTTGAGAGGCATGATAATAAACCGATTCATTGTTCGTTTGTATGCGTCCTATCTGTACATTTGGTGACGCTGCGCACATTAGCTGGCTAAACTTGACCTTACCCTACCACTTAACAAACCCTAACCACTCGTTAGCATTCATAAAATGATCCACTTACCCTAACCACTTGCTGTATGTTGCAGTTGCATAAATGGGTATAAATGATGGTTTAGCTATTTTTTTTAAATGTTAGAGTTTGGTTGAGAGGTCAAGTTGAACATGCATCTTCTCAAATAGTCACACAAAGCCAATCATGAGCACATAGATGACTCACATCCTGTCATGAGCCTCTCACTCCACCGGGTTACCACCTTAATTTTCTTCCACTCTGCTCACCACTCTCTCTACTCAGCCTAACTAGCTCCACCTGTCCCTGCTCTGCTCTGCTCTAATTACTCTGCCAGCTGCGCTGCATTACCCACTACCTCTCCCAGTATTTAAGGCCCTGTCTTTCAGCTCTCCGGTGTCAGATCGTCTGCAAAGCTCACACCCGGAACCTGTTTGCTCGCGCTTCTGGCTCACCCTGGTTTTGTGACCCCGGACCTGCCTGATTTTTGGATTCTCTTCTGCCCCAGGAGATCCAGACCTGCTTCTGCCATAACGACTCCTGACTACTCTTCAATCCCGGTAACTCTGACCAGCCTTCTGCCTTGCTACTACGTATTTTGGATTTCCCTTGAACTGTACTGCTGCCTTGTTTCATTCCGCCCTGTTGTGTCTGTGTCTCCCCCCCCCAGGACTTCTGGACCACCCACCACCGGCTTCATAGGACGCATCGCTGCCACTGGGGGGGGCACAGACCCAGCACATTGGACGGGATCCCTGTTACCCCTGGATCCTTCATTCACTCCCTACTTCCCTTTTTCCTTAAGTTTTAATAAACTTTCTGGTGTGACGCAATTGTGGTCCTCTGGTCGTCTGTCTGAACCGTGACACATCCTCAGTGACACCCATACTGTGTCATCTAAAATTACCAAGATATACCTACAAACCATGAATATGCATATATACAATGGCCTGAAGAAATTAATTATTAAAAGGCAAGGTACGCTGCTTTCTGTAAATAGCCATGACCACAATCCTCCATTTATGATCCTCCATTCATGAACCTTTATTCATGATCCTACATTTAATCTTGGAATAAGGGGTGAGAAAATGGAGGGGCGCAGTATATGGAATACTTTATGTCCAGCAAGGGGATTATGGTAATTATTATATTATTTAACTACAGTATCTAGAGCTATCTAGATGTCTGTAATGGTTTATTTATTTTAATGAGTTGTGCAATCCCACTCCTTCTGTATTGTATGATTTATTGGACAGAGAGGAGAGAGAGAGTGGGGAAATAGGCGGTCAGTCACATAGGCGGTTGGTCGAATTCAAACCCATGCCATCGCTCGGACATGTGTGCTGTTGGCAGCGGCACTGACCGCTTGACCACCCAGGCCACACCCCCCTTGGCATTTTTCTATTTTGTTGCCTTACAACCTGGAATTAAAATGGATTTTTGGGGGGTTTGTATCATTTGATTTACACAGCATGCCTACCACTTTGAAGATGCAAAATATTTTTTTCTTGTGAAACAAACAAGAAATAAGACAAAAAAATGGACAACTTGAGCATGCATAACTATTCACCCCCCCAAAGTCAATACTGTGTAGAGGCACCTTTTGCAGCAATTACAGCTGCAAGTCTCTTGGGGTATGTCTCTACAAGCTTGGCACATCTAGCCCATTCTTCAAGGCAAAACTGCTCCAGCTCCTTCAAGTTGGATGGGTTCCGCTGGTGTACAGCAATCTTTAAGTCATACCACAGATTCTCAATTGGATTGAGGTCTGGGCTTTGACTAGGCCATTCCAAGACATTTAAATATTTCCCCTTAAACCACTCAAGTGTTGCTTTAGCAGTATGCTTAGGGTCATTGTCCTGCTGGAAGGTGAACCTCTGTCCCAGTCTCAAATCTCTGGAAGACTGAAACAGGTTTCCCTCAAGAATTTCCCTGTATTTAGCGCCATCCATCATTCCTTCAATTCTGACCAATTTCCCAGTCCCTGCCAATGAAAAACATCCCCACAGCATGATGCTGCCACCACCATGCTTCACTGTGGGGATGGTGTTCTCGGGTGATGAGAGGTGTTGGGTTTGCGCCAGACATAGCGTTTTCCTTGATTGCCAAAAAGCTTAATTTTAGTCTCATCTGACCAGAGTACCTTCTTCCATATGTTTGGGGAGTCTCCCACATGCCTTTTGGCGAAAACCAAACGTGTTTGCTTATTTTTTTCTTTAAGCAATGGCTTTTTTCTGGCCACTCTTCTGTAAAGCCCAGCTCTGTGGAGTGTAAGGCTTAAAGTGGTCCTATGGACAGATACCCCAATCTCCGCTGTGGAGCTTTGCAGCTCCTTCAGGCTTATCTTTGGTCTCTTTGTTGCCTCTCTGATGAATGCCCTCCTTGCCTGGTCCGTGAGTTTTGGTGGGCGGCCCTCTCTTGGCAGGTTTGTTGTAGTGCCAAATTCTTTCCATTTTTTAATAATGGATTTAATGGTGCTCCGTTGGATGTTCAAAGTTTTGGATATTGTTTTATAACCCAACCCTGATCTGTACTTCTCCACAACTTTGTCCCTGACCTGTTTGGAGAGCTCCTTGGTCTTCATGGTGCCACTTGCTTGGTGGTGCCCTTTGCTTAGTGGTGTTGCAGACTCTGGGGCCTTTCAGAACAGGTGTATATATACTGAGATCATGTGACAGATCATGTGACACTTAGATTGCACACAGGTGGACTTAATTTAACTAATTATGTGACTTCTGAAGGTAATTGGTTGCACCAGATCTTTGTTTAGGGGCTTCATAGCAACGGGGGTGAATACATATGCACGCACCACTTTTCCGTTATTTTTTTCATTTCACTTCACCAATTTTGACTATTTTGTGTATGTCCATTACATGAAATCCAAATAAAAATCTGTTACAGGTTGTAATGCAACAAAATAGGAAAAACGCCAAGGGGGATGAATACTTTTGCAAGGCACTGTAAGGGCAGAATGCAATGTGGGTTGTGTGGATTTTGTCTTGACTGTAATGGGTGGTCCCATATAGATGGGACAAGAGTGAAACAGTATGCATAAAGTAATGTATGGTAGCTATTTGTAATGGAATTCCTGCAGTGTGTCTATGTGCACTCGCAACAGGCATTCAGCTCGTTCAGAGCCCATTTCATGACAAGGCTGGTGGTAACGACATAGAAAACATCTTAGTCTCACACCAGTGGACCTTAGCGAGACCTTTCAGAGGGATCAAAGTGAAAGAGTGTTCATTCTTGCAAAGGCAATGGCCAGGCATGAGGCATACTTTTCAATAAGCAGCAGCCCAAAGAAAACGAATATCCTAGGAGTATCTGATTCCGTCCCTATGTCAAAGGGCATGTCATGATCAAAATATCGCCACATTTTCTTTTAGACAGAATTAATCCTATGTCTATGGTTAAAATCTGATGAGATAAGACTCCATCTGCTAGAAATACAAAAAATGTACAAAGCTACTCACCATTATATAAAAAAATATTATTGGTGTGAAAACTTGTGGCTGAATAATAACAGACAGATGTTAAACATACGGATAAGGAAACATAAGTTGGGAGAAAAGGTAGTTGTTGAAATAAATATCATTTACCTTGAATTTATCAAGTCATTAATTACAAAAGTGGAGGCATGAATAAAAGACAAAAAGTCAAAAACATTTACTTTGTTTACATTTTAATTAGTACAATGTCAAAGAAGTTATTACTTGGCACTCTAGTATTGGAAACATGGTTAAAATACTTTGTAGTAATGTACAATTTTAAGGATATCTATTAATAAATATAAAATAGCAATTAAGAGTTCATGCAGAGGATACAAATTCATTCAAATTCATTCATTCAGATGACTCAAATATACAGAGCAATTCAGTAGCAGAAATGCAGTATTAAGTATATTGTACTAATAGCTAAATTAATGAGAGACTGTTTTACATGGTAGACTAAGTAGAGTACAATAGCGGCAATCACTACATAGCTCTAACCTCTTGCTTGCATCATTCACACACCAATGTTTGTGTGCGTGATTGTGTGCATTCCTTGAATATAAGCCATAATATTCCAGCATAAAATGGCTGTATCTATTTGAACAGTCTGTCTCCTACACCTACATCATGAAATGTCACCCTATTCCCTTTATAGTGCACTACTTTTGACTGGAACCCCATAGGACTCTGGTCAAAATAATTGCACTATATAGGAAATAGGGTGAGATTTTGAACGCATCCAGGCCCAGCGTAATGGGCGGGCCTTAGGGGGCCTGGGCCGACCTACCGTACAAATAAAATATTGAAATATTGATCATTTATTTGACCGAGACACGCGCCGACAGAAAGACGCATCAATCTTAGTTAAAGCATCCGAGCAAGCGAAACGGCGCCCCTCTGTCTCAGTATGTGTAGACCATGTATATGATGCTGTCTGGACCAAAGGAGTATAGCATGTCATACCATTTCTGACCAGACGGCATCAGATACATGGGCTACATATAGAGGGGCGCTGTTTCGCTCACTCGGATGCTTTCTCCTGTGATATAGCTTCAGCAGAGAGGAAGAGGAGAAGCAAGAGGGCTCACTCTTGCCAAAATATGTCCAGTATAACTTCAATGCGTTTCTATGGGAATAATATGCAGACCTAAGCTTGTCGCCTGCCTTCCTGCCTTTGGGACAAAGACTCCCATTGTTAGGGTGGAGACATGAGCATCTTGTCATTATATACAGATCTCTGGTTTCAGCCTCTTGCTAATTGGAAAGGAAAGTTGGCGGGTGCACAGTCTACAGTTAAGATGCTGGATTGCCCTAAAATAAATAAATGTTTTGCCCAAATTATATAATTACTCCTGTCTAAATAAAATCATTCAAAACTTCACCAGGGAGCATGACTTAGCCACAGAGGATAATT